TATATATATATTGTTTGATTTCACCACATTTATTCATCTCAATTTGGTGAAACATGGCAGAAATAAGATATTTTGTTTTATGTAACCATTTGTCTATTTGTTGTTAAAAAGACCAGTTTACAGAGTCGAGTTCAGGATTTGTGAGAGAAGCAAACGGGCAGTTTTCCCATGCAAATATGAAACTGAGCATTTCAGCAGTTCTTGTTCAGAAGCATCTGGTTTAAACATCACATCTTTTTGTTGTCGTGAACGATCCTCAGTGACTTTTCATCCACATTTTGAAAATAAAAGGGTTAAATTTTATACTTCAGGCACTGTGTCAGAGTGGGACCGCCACGATAATTAATTTTTTTCCCCCACCATCTTTTGTCTCTATGCAATTTTCCRACCATCACGCTGGTCACCTAGAAACTGGGCTGAGACTCAGGAACCCAGACGCCCTGCATCCTGTCTTCACCTCCCCCGCCTAAATCCCTCTTCCTGAACCATCGCGCTCCATCCCGTACATCTTGTCGAAGCTGTTTTTATACAAAGAACTTCAGGTGTGTGAGCCGTTGGATYATCGTCCGCCACTCTGGCACACATGCATAGAAAAACTAATGTCCCGATGAAACTCTTCGCCACTGTAGAAGACTGTACAGTTCATCTCGTGCTACCTGTGTTACCCTCAAACGCTGTAAAGATCGGCCCATGCACTTTTTTTCCTCCCCCATTCTAGAAATGTTGCCTTGAACCGGCTATAAAAGCGTAGGATTTAATGTGATAAATATATAATTTAAAGATGAAAAGACTGATCTTTAATGTGCTATTAACTCAGATTAGTTGGTGGATGTTAACTTGAATTTATCTCCAGATATGTGTGTAAGAGAGTTCTGTGTTTTCACGGAAGATCGTCCCTGTGTCACTAAAACGTGCACGGAACAGGAGAGGTCTGAGCAATCAAACTCCATGTTGGCTGTGAAATGGACAAGAGTCTGACTCTTAAAAAAAAAAGGAACATTTCCCAGAGTGATGGGCTGTGCACACGTTTGCAACAATTCTGTGTTTTGCACCACTTTTTTCCTGAGCAGATTAAAGGGAACTTTCATAATGAAAGTAGCTCTTATCAATTACAGTTAAGTAAAAAGGTGCAATAAAGTTGTGACTTTTGTCAGCTGACTGTGTTTGTGTCTGTATTTTACAAAAAAAAATAAGTATCACTAAGCGTACTTTTGAACTGAAGGGACAAGAAAGGTTTTCAAAAACATGCAATTACCCCCTGCTGCCGTTTCTGAATCTGCACCAAATTATTGTGTCCGCATCAATTTGCTGTTTTATCATCCACAGCCTGAGCTCATAACCTTTCTTTAACCCACTGGAACTATTTTTTAATTCAGCTTATTTGTTTAAAAATTGAGTTTTTGTCATTTAATTAAAAAAATGTGTATATTTCTAACAATTTTGTCTTTAAAAAATTTGATTTTCATTTGATCTGTTTGTGTCCCAGTTTGAACTTGGGCGATTCGTCATTTCTTAATCATGATTAAAAGTTTTTAAAAAAAWTTATTTACTTGATAAAAACAGGTGCATTTTCTTTATGGAGTGAACTTGTGCTAAAATCTATGAAATCAAATATAAAGGGCTTTTCCTGAACTATACCAATCTGTGCAGTTTAAAAAAGTTTACTCCATAGTTTTCCAGAAAAACTGTAATGCAGGCTATTATTTTCAATGTGAATTTGTTTATTTTATTTTTGTCTTTAAGTTCCAACTATATATA